TTAAGAAAACAAACAAAAATTTAACAAGAATAGCAAAGTAAAACAGATCAAAACCTTGATTGAAAAGAAAGCAGAAAATACGTCTCAGCACCATTTAGCCTTCATTATTTCTTTCAGAGAGCTCCCCTTTCATTAACCGCTGCTCCTCCTCTTTACAAATCACTTCTCCCCAGTAATTCAGACAGTCCCCTCACTCTGCTATTCGCAGTCTCTGAAGTCCAGCAACAAACGAACCAAATGAAGGAACTCCTGTTAACAAGTTGTGTGAAGCCCACCTTTTCCTTGGGGATGATCATGTCAGCTCCTCTCACAGTGTTCACACCCCTCTCCACTTTTTACTACTCTAAGGACTCAATGGCAGCGAGTTTGGTTTTTATTTTTTATGACTAAGTCAGGCCTTTCAAAGCCTTCGTTATGTGACATTACAGTATTTGGCAAGATATCCTTTCACCTGTGACCTGAGGAGTTCCTGGTCTCTAGCCCTGTCGATGAGCCCTGAGCAATGCAACTTGCTAACAGCTTCAGAGAGTTTCCACCAACTTTAATGGAAATACAATAGACTTGCACAACTGAGGGGATATAGTAAAATATAAATAACCACTGATATGACAAAGATTTTCAAGAAAAAAGTATCAGATAGTTCTTGCGAAAAACCCGAAGTTCCATTTTCACTGTTATCTCATCTTTTTTTTGTCCCTTAGTATGCCCTGAAATAGACTAGTCTCTCCCATCAAAGAACTGAAAGTTCTTGGGGAGGGAAATTTATTCATGGCTATACCTTAAAACTCTAAAATTATGATCTATAAACAATAGCCAATCATTAACTATTTATTTGAATGATTGAATGTCAATGTTTTCAGTAATCAACAGGAAGAAGATAAGTAAAGCAAAATGCAGTCTTATTTCTCAACCATGATCATACATGTCTGTTGAGTAGCATCCACGAGGTAGTATTGTTCTACAGGAACATGAGATATGACTAAATTTACTTGATTTATAAGTCCTATCAATAAACACAAGGATGTATTAGGAGGCAATAGACTAATTTATTTTTAACTAACAGTAACAAGTTCGAATGCATTTACTATATTGTATTTTACAAGACAGATACAAATAGTAGCTTCTCCGAGTGTGAATCACCCTAAGGTCAACTTTGGACTTGGAGGAAATTTCCTGAGCCGTATTCTAGTCCATGTAATAGGATTTCTGAGAAAACATAATACAGGAGAGTGGAGTGGGGTGTGAGCATTGTGAGAGGAGCTGACATGATCATCCCCAAGGAAAAGGTAAGCGGGCTTTACAAAACTTGTTAACAGAAATTCCTTCATTTGGTTCATTTGTTGCTGGACTTCAGAGACTGCAAATAGCAGAGTGAGGGGACTGTCTGAATTACTGGGGGGAAGTGATTTGGAAAGAGGAGGAGCAACAGTTAATGAAAGGGGAGCTCTCTGAAAGAAATAATGAAAGCTAACTGGTGCTGAGAAGAGCATTCAGGTATATCTCACTGGTAGAGAGAGTAAGACCACAAGCATTATTGCTGGGCTCTGGCCACACCAAACGCTATGACAGGGCCAATCGGGTTCCAGGAACTATTTGTTGCAACTGGTTAGAAAGTCCTCTATCTAAGCAAAAATTTTACTGGGTAAAAACACTTTCATTTATTTAAGTACAGTAAAGACAAACCAAATACACAATTTTGTATTTTAAACTTTTTGCTCCTAATATGAGATCATTTTGTTTATTTATGTATTTAATTTTAATACTTTTATTAACATATAATTCACAAACCATACCATTCAATGTTTTAAGTGTCTTTGAAAGAGATGTGCAGTCACCACCACAATCAATTTTAGGACATTTTCCTCATTCATCATTATTAGCCTCCCATTACCCCCAACCTCCTGCACCATAACCCCAAGAAACTATTAATCCAGTATTGTCTCTATATATTTCCCTACCTAGATTTCATATAGAGAAAATAAACCAAAACAAAAATCCAACAACAATAACAAAACAAAACACAGAAAAACCTCAATCCAAAAGAAAACTGAATATAATAACTACAACAAATTTAAAATGGGTCAAAGGGGAGAACAAATAATATGGTGTTAAAGTTTAGCCTAACTACATAGGCAGTAATCCACTTTCCAATGTACTCTATCTGATAGCAAGGATATTCACATCCCTGGCCAATGATCAGAGGGGACTCTTTAGAGGCTTCATCTACATGGAGACTCTCCAAATGGATTTTAGGCTTTCACTGTCATCTGTAGCCTTCTGCAAACCATGTTGCTCAGAATTTAAGCTCTAGTAGACTTCTGTTCTCCAGCCTTGCAGTTTATCATTTATAATCCTTGGATCACACAGGCTGGTACACTTCTCTTGGTGAACTTAGCTAATAACTCACTTAGATGGCTGTTTGTTTTAAGACAAGTCTTTAAGACCCCAAACACTATTCGCACTTATCCGGGCACCATCTGATTACTTCACCATGCTTTGTGATAGCACCCATATCTTCAGTTATTTCTTCATGAGGGCATTGAGGAGGGCCATGTCATATGAACTCATTGTTCTCAATTCAGGCTGACAATTTAGTGTGAGCTCAGATTCCATTCATATATCTACAGTTTAAATATGTCCCTGGTCCACTATAGAGATATAATTATTTTATTGGGGAATATTATATTCAATCTCCAGGGAGCATAGAGTAATTCTATTTAATAGTGCCCTAACTCTATACCACTGGTATAGAATTTAAAATATTGCTGAGAAAAAGGCAGTATACAAATATAGGATAGCCTTTTTAGATAAAATACATGGATTGTTGACTTGTACATATTAAAAACCTAAGTGATTAGACTAGACAGTACTTAAAGAAACAATGAGGGTTGGAGATAGAGCAAACATTTCAATAATGCTCATTCACTAAGATGGGACTGTGCCTAATGAACAAACATGTATTATAAAAAAGAAAAGAGGGTATGGAAATAGCAAGTATATGGTAGTCTTAAGTTACCAATTATTACTGGGGACCCTCAAAGCAAGATAGTTGAACCAAAATCCAATGACTTCCAAATCCACAACCTAGAGTTAGTAGGCATCTGCTTTTTCTCACACTTCACCATTTAAAACTTAAGTCCAAGGGAGTTGTTCAGTGCCTTTAATCAGCTACAGGTGTGTTTGAAATAAAGTCCATTTACTTAATGGAGTTCCCAAATTTGATCCTTCTGGTGTGACCTATGAAAGATGTTATGCACTTAGAAAGGACAAAGTCTAAAATCCTAGTTGTCTATAACACATGGCCTGGGTCACCAAGGGCTGGATAGAAAATAGATCAAAAGTGCCCAGTTAGGAACATAATAACAGCATGGTCTCCCATTGAAGACTTATATGAGTAATGTTAAGCTCTTTTATCCACCCCCCGCCCCCAATGTCAGGTTGCCCCTCCTGGTTTACCCACCAACAGAAGTGAAATCACCTCCTCTGGGGCAAATATGGCACCTACTCTCCTCAGGACTTGAATTTCCATTAAGGTTCAGAGAGCACCCTTGTAAAAATGTCTATTGATTTTAGGTGACCATGGAAAAATGGTATACAGCAGAAACTAATTTGTCTTCTCCCTCTCCCTCTCCATCCAACACAAGAAACTGACCCTATGTATTATAACAAGAAATACTCCCCTATTCTGCACTATCCCCATGAAGTGTTTTTTTTAATATAAATCACTTTTGGGGGTTCATACAACTCATCACAATCCATACATACATCCTTCTGTCAAGCCTATTTGTACATTTGCTGCCATCATCATTCTCAAAACATTTTCTTTGTACTTGAGCCCTTGGTATCAGCTCCTCATTTTTTTCCCTACCTCCCCCACCCTCTCTCTCTCCCGAACCCTAGACAATTTATAAATTATTATTATTCCTCTATGTCTTACACTGTCTGATGTCTCCCTTCACCCCCTTTCTGATGTCCGTGCCCCAGGGACAGGGTTTATTTGTAGATCATTGCGATAGGTTCCCCCTTGCTCCCCCATGTTCCCCTTACCCTCCTGGTGTCACTACTCTCATTATTGGTCCTGAGGGGTTTCTCTGTCCTGGATTCCCTGTGTTTCCAGCTCTGATCTGTACCAGTGTACATCCTCTGGTCTAGCCAGATTTGTAAGATAGAATTGGGATCATGACAGTGGGGAGAGGAAACATTAAAGAACTAGAGGAAAGTTGTATGTTTCACCGATGCTATTCTGCACCCTGACTGCCTTGTCTCCTCCCCGAGACCCTTCTGTAAGGGGATGTCTAGTTGCCTACAGATGGGCTTTAGTCTCCACTCTGCACGCCCTTCATTCACAATGATATGATTTTTTGTTCTTTGATGCCTGATAACTGATCCTATGGATACCTTGTGATCACACAAACTGGTATGCTTCTTCCATGTAGGCATTGTTGCTTCTCAGCTAGATGGCCGCTTGTTTGTCTTCAAGCTTTTAAGACCCCAGATGCTATATCTTTTGATAGCCGGGCACCATCA